ACGGGCACTGTGTTGGGGACCACTGGCTTAGCAGGATGCTAATAGCAGGCTGTTGATATGGGTAACCAGAAATCTAAATACAGTAGTGAGCATTTTTAGAACAAAAACTCTTGGAAGGGCTCTAAACCTTCCTGATTTACATCCAAAATATGTCTAACTAGTGGGTGTCAAGGGGAAAGACCCTGGGGGTATGTCCACACTACAGTGCTATTTCAAATTAACTTAATTCGAAATAGTTAATTTAGCAGGCTGTTGATATGGGTAACCAGAAATCTAAATACAGTAGTGAGCATTTTTAGAACAAAAACTCTTGGAAGGGCTCTAAACCTTCCTGATTTACATCCAAAATATGTCTAACTAGTGGGTGTCAAGGGGAAAGACCCTGGGGGTATGTCCACACTACAGTGCTATTTCAAATTAACTTAATTCGAAATAGTTAATTTGAATTAAGCTAACTAGAAATAACGCATCTATACACAAAAACTATTTTGAAATAGCGCATCCACACTGAGTGGACCCTGAACCGAAGTTAAGACTGGCCAGAAGCAGTGCCAGCAGGGCATCAGGTTAGGACTTAGTGTGTGGGGCTGCTGCCTCAGGCTAGCTGAGGGCTGTGCTTAAAGGGACCTGACCCCCACCCCGGACAGACAGTTCTCAGGGTTCCCCGCTTGCTTGTCTACCTCGATGAGGGACAGTAAAGCAGTCCTGGCTTGGAGTGCCCTGACAGGCTTCAATTTCTGAGATATAGGTGAGAGGATTATTCTAGGAGGGGTGGGTGAGATTTTGTGGCCTGCACTGTGCAGGGGGTCAGCCTAGATGATCATAATGGTCCCTTCTGACCTTAAAGTCTATGAGACTATGAGTCTATGAGTGCCCGAACTCAGGATACCACAGCACTCGGCCACATGGAGCCAGAGCTTCCCCTGGGCATGCTGGTGCATCTTGTGGGGTCGTTGCCATCAGCCCAGCTGCACTTGCTGCAGGCTGCCATCAGGAGGGGTCCATGGGGCGGCCGTCAGGATACAGGAG